TGTGTGTGTGTGTGTGTGTGTGTGTGTGTGTGTGTGTGTGTGTGTGTATCCTTGAGTTCAGGGATAGGGGAGAGACCGATGAGTCAGCTGAAGGCCATGAGAAGCCTTTGTGAGGAGAGGTGTAGGGGCTGAGCTGTGCCTGGAAAACTTAAGGAGAGGTGGAGAAAGCGGAATTTGGGTCAGTGTCATAGTAGAGAGAGAGAGAGAGAGAGAGAGAGAGAGAGAGAGAGAGTGTGTGTGTGTGTGTGTGTGTGTGTATGCAGGGCCTCAAATGCCAGAAAGAAGTCAAGGAGGTGAGGAAAAGATACAGATGTTCAGAAAATATATAAGCCCCCATCCTCTATGAAATTGCTATTACCTGTGGTGAAAAATGGGTACACCCTTTGTTAGAATGAATCCTTGAAACTCTCAGGTGTGTTGATAACATTCAATGGAAGGCAGTCTCATTTGGAGAATAAATTTACAAATTCCTGTCCGGGGCTGTTGGAGGTATCTGTCTCTTGTTAGCATCGGATTTTGATGGATGAAGTTTGGAAAGAGATGAGCTTCCATTCATTTAGGTTGTAGTTAGAATAAAAGCCCAGTCATGCCTACAAAGCCCTGGATGGGCTGACCGCTCTTCCCCTTCTAACTGGCTGTCTTCCAGGCCATTCTTTCCCTCATTCCCTGAGCTTCAGCCATACACCACCTTCTTTCTCTGTCTTCAGTGTGCTAAGCTGTTGCCCACCGTACATTACCCTGGCATTTACTGTGTCGTCTACCGAGAAGACGCTTATCTTTAGGCTCTTGGGCAGAGCAGCTCTTTCTCACCGGTCCTGCATCAGCTCTGATTTCACTTCCCGAGACCAAAGGCTCCACCTCGTACCCCACCTAGAGTGGTGTGCTCTGGTCCCTTGGCGTTCACCATCCTATCACCCTCTTTCATTCCTTAAAAACCCAAGGAGGGCTCTGCATGGTATTGTTGGTTTATTATCTGTGTCTTCCCTTCGGAGTGGTCATGAGGACGGGAACCTTATCTGCCTGCTTACCGTCATACCCCCACGTGTAGTAGGTGCTCAGTAAAGTATATGTTAGATGAGTTGGTGGCAGTGGGGTCTCCATTGCGCTCAGGGCCTACAAAGCTCGCATTCTCTCCCCCTCCTGAAGAGCTGAACTGTTAGAAATGCAGGAAGAAAATGGAGAATGGTACGATCTGGGGTGGCCCATGCTACGATGGCATTATGTTATAGCACGTCTTTTTTCCTTTGTTCCTCTACGAAGTCTTAAGAACTTGGGAAACAACACTGCTCAGAGGGATGTTTCAAAGAGATGGACTTGGAGGGGGCCATTGTGTGGGTTGGATGGATGCTAGTATGTCAGGAAGAGCTGATGGGTCTTTTCTTGCTGTGTTTCTATGTTGTAGCCATTGTGGAATGAAGTGACTATGAGCCTAACAAGCTAAGATCTGATGTTTCTCTAGCCTGCCCTCTGAATCCTTTCACACACATTTCCTGTCGCTTCCTCGTTCCCTTCTCCAAGTACCACTGGCTGAGTATGCCTGCCCCCTACCTATCATGATACGATAGCCGTGGTTAATTCAGCAAAAGAAATTTGATGAAACTGTTACTTTTTCCTCCTCCGTGGGTTTCTGACGGGAGCACCCCTCTGGCTGACACTGTCCGAAAGCTGCCTGAGTTCTCAGTTTTGGCTAGCTTGGCTTCCAGGGGCCTGGTTAAGAGATTATCCAGTGTGTGTTCTTCAGCTGCCTAGTTTGGGTTTATAAATGAAATGTTACAATGCTTTCTTCTGTGTCATCAGTACGTGCTAACAATAAAATGATACATCCCTTATTGTGCTGCTGGGATGGAATTTATTTGACTCTATTTTTTTCAAAGGATCTGTGGCGTTACCACAGGGCAGAGCAGGCAGAAGATTTCTGTTCGCTCGCCTTCCGCACATCTACCCTTCCTGCCTTCTCTTGTTATTGTGCTAGAGACCCGGGCTTCTGCTCTGCAGGCCTCCACCACATGTCCGTTAGCGTAATCATTATCCACACAAGGAGGTGATTTTCCCATCTTCTGATTATTAGTCATCTGCACTGTCTAATTCTCCCTCCTCCTTCCTTAGCACTGCAGTGACAACACACATCCCTGCCAATCAGACATGAACATCGAAGGAGCCTGGAAGAGAGGCTACACGGGAAAAAACATCGTGGTGACCATCCTGGATGATGGCATTGAGAGAACCCACCCGGATCTGATGCAGAACTACGTGAGTGTGTGCTGTGGTCGGAACCCCCTCCCTCCTGGGAAATAACGGGACGCGTGTGAGGACTGTCAAGAAGTGGGGATACTACTAAAAAGGGCAGCTAGCAAATACAGTAAGCTCTGCGTATTCGCTTCCATTTTACAAAAAGTTGCGCCCTCTTAAGTACAGGGAGGTGAGCTACTGCTTTCAACTTTCAAGTGCCTCTGATGTTCTGATGACAAAAAGTAAGTGATAAGGCAGCAGAAACCCCACCCCCACCACCATCTGCTCCTGATAATGACCACTCTTCTCAACGACTCATCCACAAAGCCACGCCACACACTCTGTTTCTTTTGTGGAGAAAAGCGTACTTAGAACTTTGCTCAAGTTTTTCTACTGGTCTCTTTCTCTTTTTTTTTTACTCCCTTTTTCAAAGGACAATAGTGATCAGCCTCCTACTAGTCCTAGGAAGCAGTCAGTTCCCTCTCTTAAGAAGGAACTGTGATTCCAGGACTCCAGGAGGATGTCGGATGTAGGATGAGCCCAAGACCACAGAGTCCACGGAACATTGGGGTCAGTTTCTGCCCCTTGGGCCTCTGGGTTCCATCTACCACTGTGATATCTACTGCCTAGAAATGTGTCAGTGATCTCTCTAAACTCTACCCTCCAAGCTCATTCCTTCCATTGGCTTCTCCTTTCTCAGGTCACCTGAGAGGGCCATATTATCTCTCAATATGCCATTCTCTGTCAGCTCCAAATTTGTGTTTCCTGACACCTTAGTGTTCTCTCTAAAATATTTCTTCTCTTATAAAGAGCCTGCAACGATCCCCTATTATCTGTAAATACAACTCTGATTCCCATAAGGGCTCAGCAGAAAATCCCGTGGATCCCACTCACACCCATGTCTTCTGACTTCCCCTCAGACCTCTTTTCTGGTGATGACTGTTTCCACCCAGGAACACTGATATCACCACAGGACGCTTAAACGACAGTCACTTTTCCCCCGCACCCTCCTCTCTTCCTTCCCGATTCCTTTTAATTCCAAAATTTTGGCCGTGTTGAGGGTCCCTAAATTATATTTCATGTTGGTATTGAAAAAATTTCTCTTAAAATCAGTGATTCTCTAGCCGCTTACAGTTTCCTCTCCCACCCCTGAAAATACAAACAGCTCTAAATCATGGTGAAGTCTGCTTTACTTCCCTTACAGGACTCTTACTGACCCCAAAGGAGGAAAGTCATGGGCCGGGGCGGGAAGCTTTGCCCCGTGTTTACAGAGGGGACCCACAGAGAATCCTGAGCTGTATAACTGGGAAGACCCCGTCTCCGCAGATTTTTGTCTTCTATATTCCAGTTCATGGTCATTAAAGGAGGCACTTCAGCAAGCCCAGCCCACCACCCTGTGCCCTGAGCTGCCAGAGGATGATGCGGCAGGCCCTGCCCTGCGGGTCCCTCTGCCCATCAGCACAAAGGACTCGCCATCCCAGCATGCTTGCTGCCTCAGTGGACACAGAGCGGCCCTGGGGGACATTGTTCTGGGCTCACTCAGAGTGGACCTGACCTTTTCCTTAAGGCCAAGTTTCAGAGACCAGGGATATGATGCCTTCTTGAAATCTGATCTCTCTCTCTCTCTCTCTCTCTCTCTCTCTCTCTCTCTCTCTCTCTCTTCGTCTACCTCATCATGGGAAGGCTTGGTTTCTGGGCACCACGGGTATCCCCTCCATGTCTCCTCTGCCCCCCCTTCCCTACTGCTCCAGCTTCTCATGAAACCATTTTTAGAGAGTGATCACCATATTCTCTCCAATGTTCCTTTCTTATTTGCTCAGTCTCGCTTAATTCATGATACTGAATCTCAATTTTCCTGAAGAGACTCCGTTTTATCTTTACAAATAAAATACCTCCAAGCCCCTTCCTTGGTGCCCCAGAAACTCCCACTGGCTCACAGTGACCCATATTTCTGACCCACACAAACCCCCAGTGTCACCTCACACTTGAAGCTTTCCTTACAGTCTTCCCCCCGTCACCCGTTTTGTGTCAAACATTCAGCCAAGAAACTTCACAAATTAATTTTTTACAATGACATATTGAAACAATTTCCACCAAATTAGATGACTTTTCCCGAAGGTTAAAGAGAGAGAGAGAGAGAAAGAACTGCACATTCATTTCGTTCTCATTTGAACAAAACGTTTGAGCGGCCGCTCTCACCCTGCCTCCAAGCACACTCAGGCATTCACAGCATAGAATTTGAGAGCTAAGAAGAATTTTCTATTGGTCTCCTCCTTCAAGAGGGGAGAAGCTGGAGCCTGAAGGCTATACTGATTGAGCCCAGGTCGTATAAAGAACAGAAGTGTGGGGACCTGCCTCCTAGCAGAGAAGTCTTTCTGGTCAAATACCACAGTGTGGTATTTATGGGGTGTTCCTGCCCCCCACCAGCTAGGAATATATTTGATGAAACACAGATGGCTTTAACCTAATTATGATTGCATTCTTTGCCTCTTTCATTTTTTCCCCCTTGAAGGAGAATTCTCTAGAACATATCTGTGTGATGAGCAGTAGCGATGCTTCTCAGTTGTCCTGATGTTGGAGCTGGTGAAGTGTAGGGAAGAGCACATTGGATGGGGTCACGGGGCACATGGCCTGGGTTCCAATCTTGGTTCCACAGGCTGGTTTGCTTCATGCCTTTGACCAAGGTTCTTATCCTGTCTTGGGCCTCTGTTTCCTTATAAGTAAAATTCGTCAGTTATACTAGATACACACCATTCACACTCTAGTGACCAGTATGGGGGGCTATGGGGGGCCTTTATATGAGAAGCAGGGACTTACCTACCACCTTTATATGTCCTGTGTATTTTGCATAATTTCTCCAGACATCAGACTCTATGTACTACACATTATTTTCAGAAACAAGAGTCTTTGATAAAGCTAGAAAACACGTTGGCTTTCACTAAAACCGAAACATAAAACAGTCTAAATTAGTTCTACCTACTGTGACATAAACTGGAGTGAAGGTATAAGCCAGTAATTTCTTTTTGGAAATTTAGAACATCAAAAGAAAGAAATGTAGAAATTTGGAGGTGTTTCACAAAAAGCAGACAGACAGATCCAGCTTTGGCTTCAGAGATGCTTTTGCCTCATTTTGAAGCCTTGGCCTAGAATAAAACTTTGTTCATTATTTTGGTTGGGACAGAGGATCATTGGGTATTAGTAAAAAGTCTGAATTACAGACTCTTTTATAGTAGATACAACATCTGAAACCAGACAGCTATTGCCTGATAGAGATACCACGATACCTAATATAATAAATTTCTAATACTGATTTTTAATCGGCTTGCCAGTTATTTGTGAATTATCCTCAAAAATCTTTGGATTATAAGGAATTTACACACTCCAGAAATGAAGTAAGGAATAGAGAGAGAATCCCTGGAAAATAAATCACTTTGCTTCTAGAGAGTCCAAGAATACTTCACTGAAAAGGTGGTCACTGGGGACCTCTTCAGAGGCATTGAATGAGAGGTCAGTTCCAGAGATGAAGGAAAATATGTTGGCAAGAATGGTCTGGGTTCTTCCTTGGTCTGTGGAGAGTATTTTTTCACCTTAAGGAGGAAAATACAACAGTGATTATTACTGAACAAGGCATCCTGACGCCACCGAACCATGAATGTATTATTTAATCTAATTACTCTCTTGAGGAAATGTGTTTAAGAATGCATGTGGCTCCATGTTAATGGCTAATTACTAAACGTCTGTCTCCTCTTGCTCACTCCTCTGTGGCCGTAGGATGCTCTGGCGAGTTGTGACGTGAATGGGAATGACCTGGACCCAATGCCTCGTTACGATGCAAGCAACGAGAACAAGTAAGGCCCGGCTGAGGGGGGGCTGGCCTGTGGCTGCCAAGGATTTTTGTTTTCTCCTCTTGCTGAGGGAAGTATTTTCTTAGAAAGCCTTGGTAACAAATGATCCATAAATTTGCTCCAGGGGGAACAGGTGTCTTTTCACTGAAGCTTCTGGGTAATTAAAAGGGTGGTCTCCATGGTAAGAATGGTCGCAGAGAGAACCCTGGGGAATGACTCAGCATTTCCATATCTTGAGGGCACAGCTGGGGAATATTGCCCCTCATGAGCTAATTGGCCAGTGACCCATTTTTGGGGATGGGGTGCTAAAAGGAAAGGCAAAACAATGTGTACGCCAAAAGAGTTACTTTATTCTGTTAAATTCAACAAATTTCATTGACTCCTGTGCTTGAAGTCTCTGCCAGGGGCTTTCTTACTAGCTGCTTTGTTCTTCTGTTCTGCAGTGATTGTATTTTCTACTAATACACGTGAAATACCTGTAAGGTTTGCCATGTACAGAACCTATTACCTTTCTTATCTTCACATTCAAGAGCCATAGAAACTCATTTAAACCACTCTTCCACCCTCCAGTTAGTACGGTAGTTCTTGTGAGAGCAGATGAAAATGCACATCCATTTGATACCATGGAATATCTTAACATTCTTCATAAAATAAATGGGAGTGCTTTTTCTTGCTTAAGATGACCCAGATTCTTTAAAGGATTAGTAGATATTTCTAATCTCTAGATCACATTAGCTTTTTTCCTTTTACTCCAAAACTCCTCCAGTATAATGCTGTGATTTAAATGCTACCATTTCGATTTTTACTTACATGTTTTAGTCTGGAATCTCAGAAGTAGCAAAAAGAGGTGTTTTGCCCATTTATTACGTGCTATTTCCAGCCCGTGTTTTTCTTTAGGAAAAAATTTCTTAGCAAGTATGATTTGATTAAGTCAATAAGTTTAGATAAAACCATCTGACCTAGATAATTGTGACTGCACATGGGTTTTTTCCTTCTTTTTTTTTTTTCCTCTTTTCACCATCTACAAAGAAGCCTCAAAAAAGTTACTGTGGAAAGCATGCTGTTTGCTAATAAGTCGGTAAATGTTACAGATCAGATTCAATGGTGAAAGCATTAATGCATAAATTGATTTTGATAGAATTTTTCAGAGGCTTCTAAACAAAAAAAGAAAGGGACCTAAATTAAACTGGATAATTTTCTTTCAGTCCTGGCCATTGCTGTCCAGATTACACTGCTTAATAGTTATAGTAAATTTCACACCAAGGGTCATAATTTGAGACAATGCAAGCTAATGCCTGAAACACTGATGAAGAATCCTGAAGCTTCAGTACCAGAAAGTCACCACTGATAAATTTCGATATACAGTTCATTCTGCTATAGTGCCACATAGCCTTCCTAAAAACACTTGCGCTCTGCAAAATCTAAAACCGCCAAGTAATAAGACAGTGAAATTTGAGCTCAGCACTCAAAAACTTCATCGGTGATGCACACACAAAAAATGGTAGGGACCTATTTAAAAACAATAGCCCAGTTGTATCCATGTTAAGTGGTTACAAAATATGTAAAATTATAATAAATGCGCCACTTTATCTTGAGAAACACCCGAAGTTTGCTTGTGGAAGTGTGTGCGCATTACATCTGCTCTTACATATGAATGCGTGCCGCTCTGTGTGCAAGAGAAAAAAAGAGGGGAAAAAAGAGATGAAAATTTCAAAAAAGAACAAAGAATAGGGAGGAAAATTAATCAGTTGAGAGGCGAGGGGAAAATTAAGCAGAGTGGAGGACACCCCCCTAGCCTCCCACCCACTGCCCAGGATGACGTTTGGAATCATGGCAACTTGCCAGTTACTAAAGATGGAAGGTGAGGTACTCGAAATCAGGGAGTAGCAGCGGCAGACGTGGACAGGTGTGGACTGTGGTGCTTTTCGGGTGTGTAGCTGTGTGGGTTTTGTGTATTCCCATGGCGATGCATTTTCTACATTCACTTAGAGTTTCTGGGACAAAACTGTGCATCAACACATGTAAATTTCACATTATGCTTACAGCGATCTCCAATACATCAATGGTATAGGAAGAAATTTGTGTTTTTGAGGCAAGCATATAGGAGAACTGTACGATACTATATGCATCAGTTTGATTTATTCCATCAACATCTGTAGAGAGCAAAAAGGGACAGGAAAGCTACAGGAAAGACTAGATCATCATAACACCCGAAGTATTTGGGGGCAGGATATTGAGGGGCAAGAGGGGCTATAGGTAGAAACCAGTAACGTATCATAACCTGTAGGCAGTGCTGTCTGAATTCACATATGGTGAGTTTTTGCACTGAAACTCTCAGTGGTGACGGTGACTGTTTTCCAGGGCGTGTCAGACGTGTGACTAACATCGCTAACCACAGAGGCTGTGCTTAAGCTCTTAAGCTCTTTGAGTGTTGGCTTTGATGGCTTTTTACAGGCTGCCTTAAAAAAAAAAAAAAAAAAAAAAGTATCCTTTGCAAGTATTCCTTTCAAACCTGGCTCTCCCCGAGACCTCTTCTTGAGAAGCGTCGCCATAGTCCTGCTCACTGTGGCATATTCTGGTGTGTCCTGTTTTAACCCCTTCTAAGTACTGTCCATGGTTCACTGAGTGCAGTGTGGGTTTGGTTATTGGAGCACACAGGCATTGTTCTAGATACGTGCTTGCTTTGTAGTCTTGACAGTGAAATATGGCATTTCCAGAGGTACAACACCAGCATCCCCTACCTCTGTTTTATGAGCGTGACCTGGGGCAACAGATGACCCTTTACCTCCTCTCAGGAGTGCCACCTGATGTTTTGTTGGCCAGACAAGCCATGTACTCAGGCATTTGGGGTTAAGATAGCCTCTCTGCTCATTAGACCGTAATTATAGATGTGATTGATGGATCTGTCTTTAAGCGAGATAATTCTGTTTGAATAGAAGTCACGTGGCATCAGGAAATTAGCAGTGGGTTTGTAGTTCAGAAGAGTTGACGGTTAGTTTTGGTTCTCCTTAATTAGCTTTATAATCTTCGGGCCTGAGTACTCTGAGCTTTGACTAAAGCTTTGTTGTTGTCTTAATCTCTAAAATTACTACAATAATGCTTCCCAAGGTTAGCAGTAAAATACCTAAAACACCAAACATACGACGGACTACATATTAGGTGCTAGATAATTTATAATTGTAATTACAGCTGTTATTATAATTATGTGTTCTATTCCTCTTTCTGGTTCTTGATAAATAACTAAAAATCACAATCATCTCAAAATATATGTGCCTATGAACATTTCAAATGTAATGTAAGACTTAGAGGTCTTTGTTTATTTCCAAGGTTAGAGGTTTCGGTAGGTTTTTCTGCTGCTTTAGGTGATGAGAGCTGTGACTCATTCAGTAAATGAGTCGGTAAATCTGCTTTTCTGCAGTTCTGTTTCCCCATCTCCTTGAGCAGAGCCACGAGTCTTTGAATTTGACGCAAGAGAGTGAAGGGGAGAAATTTCTAATCCTCGTCAGAATGAAGCAGCTCAGGTGTCTGCTCTGCGAATACCTCCTCTTTGTATGATCTGACCAGTAGGCTTGAGAGTGTGTCTGGAATTATTTCCTGCTTAGCTACATCTGTTCATTCATTCCACAGGTACTCACCGAGACCCTACTTTGTGAATGGCTCTGCCCTAAGTCTTTGGGGTGGGGGTACGGGATGAAATAACTTGGGCTCCGAACTAATGGATTTAATTGGTAGATGACTTGAGAAACTTTAATGCCTGATGGGTTTTAGTACTAGGAGAGAAAGCACTCTCAAAACTCCAATGCAATCATCTCTCTTAGACTGACATGATTACATTTCTAGTGCTAAAACTTTGGGGTGACAAAAATCACTGCAGAAGTACAAAAGTTGTAAAAATTCCTTTTTTAAAGATTTTATTTATTTATCTGAGAGAGACACAGTGAGAGAGGGAACACAAGCAGGGGAGAGTGGGAGAGGGAGAAGCAGGCTTCCCGCTGAGCAGGGAGCCCGATGCGGGGCTCGATCCTAGGACCCTGAGATCATGACCTGAGCTGAAGGCAGACGCTTAACGACTGAGCCACCCAGGTGCCCCCAAAATTTCTTTTTTGTCACTTTTTCATGTCCCCCACATAACAGGTGCATAAAGAAATAGCCTCAGTGGAGGAGACCATAAAAGCTGTCCTTCCGTTCGGCTTTGTCTCCATTCAGATTAGCTTGTCGAATAAAGGTGACTGCATTGTTCTAGGCTTAAAATAGAAAATGCCTCCCTACAAATGAAAGAGTCTCCTGGCATTTCATACCACTACTCCTATTTCTGATAAATGAATTATTGATGTCTGAGTTAGAGCTTCCCTTCCCTAGGTTGCTTCTTGTTAAATGTTCCCTCCATTTAAAAGTCATAGCAACATATTTAGTGGGAGGTGAGAGCACACATTGTATCTTGAATGGGTGATATGTGGGCCCAGAATCTGACTCCTTTTGAAAATGAACCAATCCATTAGTTAAAGACTCATTTTTCAAAAGGAATTAATTTTTTTCATTTTTCTTTCTGATCTCTATTTTCAGGAAGATTTAAGCAGGGTAGATGGAAGCACATTTTTTTTCTGATTCTTTAGTCTACTTGCACATATCATTTCTGGTTTTAAGAATGTATATCGCCATGTTGTAGAAACCAAAGTGCACGTGGCCTTCTCTTTCTCATCCCTGCAGATGAGGACTATTTTCAGGAGATAGTGTTCCAAAACAAAGCCAATGATTGTAACAAATGTTTTCTAACTGGAGTTAAAATATTTTCTCTATATTCTAGAGGGGAAAAAAAAAACTTTAGATCAATGACCTTATCTTGAGATCCATAACCTTAACAGGTAGAAACCTTATTTATTTAAATTTTTTACTCAAGTATAATTAACATATAGTATTATATTAGTTTCAAGTGTACACTATAACGATTCAACAATTCTATACATTTTTCAGTGCTCATCAATAGGAGTGTACTCTTAATTCCA